ATTTAATTAAAATCTATGCATGGGTCATTTTAAAGAAACCATAAGGCATAACTCCATTTTAAATTGTGGACTGCCATTTTTCTAGCGTTAAAAAAATATGGATACCACATGGTTTCACTGCCATCTTGATTAAAGGTGACCACGTGGAGTGGGTCTAACAAATCTCCAAGATAGCTTGGATAGGGATAGATTTTTGCATGATGACTCAAGTCCCATTCTAAAAACAAGAATATATATATGATTTAAAAAGCATATATATATATATATATATATATGATTTAAAATACTAAAACTACACCTCATTGTTTTTATACTCAAATGTACCTTGTTCTGCCATCTAGACTTTGTTAATTTAAGAGTCACCCAGGTGATAATGGTTATAAAGACATAAAGGGATCATACAAAACAGCTGAGGTTTACAAATGTATGCAGTTACAACAATGGACCTTAACAGTTTTAGAAATGCCAGTGCCAGGTAGTAGTCACCAAATGTACCAGTTACAGTGAAAAGGAGTAGGCTGAGATCTAAATGACGGACTATGTATAGTCGAGGGTGGGACTAAAGAAGTATTTAATTTTTTATATTCTTGATATTGCAGGAAGACATTTAAGAGATTTTAATTTTAAAAAATAAATAAATAAATTTATAAGGCTGTGAGACAACTGTGATATAAAATGTATTATATTGTTAGTATTTGAACTTAAAATAAAAGGCTAAAAATTAGGGTCAGAGCCATAAGCACCAAAAGTAACTAGAAATGGAAATATTAATTTCTTGTGATGCAGAAGACAAGGACCTAAGCAGTTTGATAGAGGGCTTGGAACAGCATCCAAGCCTATGAATCTCAAACTTTTGGAGGTTGTACATGAGTAGTCTGGGACCACCTACATGTCAGATGTATAAACTGACATTCACACATAGGCAAAACTGCAGTTGTAAAATAACAATGGGAGAGATTCTGTAATGGGAGGATCACTATTACATGGAAAACTATATTAAAAGGTAAAATCATTAAAAATATTAACTAATGGTTTAAAAATATATTTCCTTGTTCAAGGTCTATTCAGGCTTTAAAATGTATATTTAGCCTCCTTATCTTTGCTAACTTTGTAGGGTTTAAGCTATTTGGATAAACGGAGTCATAAATTTTTCTACTGATACTAAGAGGTTTGGACCTCCTATTCTGGGGAAAGAATGTTGTTTCTGTGTCATAGAGATTCAATGGCCTTGCTAATGATAGAGAACAGAACACTCCCAGGAAAGCTGGATGAAAACTTGTTCAACTGGTCTCCTTGGTTAACAACCTTACTTTCAGCTCTAATAGGCCCGTAAAGATCCTGGTTCTTATCTACAGACTTCATGACTTTTGTTCGAGAAAGGGCCAATACGGTTTGACTGAAAGTATTGAGGTTCCAGTATTACCTCCTTGAACCCCTGGGAAGACAGGACCCATGATTGAGTCCTGATACGGGAGAATTGTCTGTATTCTGTCAATCATTTTAATAAAACGCTGATTGACCAGGCAGGCAGTATAGGCGGGAAAGCCAGACAGGAAGTAGGGGTGGAGCAAAGAGACTGGGAGTATTCTGGAAGCAGAGCTCCCTCCGCACTCCTGCGCAGACCATCGAAGAGGCAGCATGTAACTTGCCCAGCTGAGAAAGGTACGGAGCCAATGTGGCTAATGTAGATAAAGATAATGGGGTAACATAAGTTATAAGAATTAACAAGAAGCCTGACCTAATGGGCCAATCAGTTTATAACCTTATGGAGTCCTGTGTGTAATTTCTCTTTGGGATTTGCCGGCTGTTGGGGTACCGGGCAGGACGGAAACCCCAACAAGCCGGCCCTCATGCTACAGAGTCCTACCATCAGCCCTTGTCCCGGGGGGGGGGGATATGTAGGGCCCAGGGCAGATCTCCCAGGTCATCTTGGTACACACCTGCCAAGATGGGTTCTATAGATCAGCAGGAAAATAGACCTGAGTCTCAGTTTGCCCTAGGGCAATGCTAGCTCTTAGATTCCCTCTGTTCACATTTCACTTGGGATCTGTTCCTTGCTTTTGCAGGAGACAGCATTAACAGCTAGATATAAACTTGTTCTGTGTTTACCCTTGAAATGACTAATTCAGTTTCTTTATTAGCTTTAATTCAGAATCATTACAGAGAGTGGAGTGCTAGTCTTGTGAAAGCTGCTAACTTATTATAGACTGTTAGACAATACAAGTTAATCAGTCATCTTTAAAGAAGTGATATAATTAGTTACAAGAATAAGCCTTATTGAGTCCCCTGTATATATTTTCAAAGTCAAACTTAAAACAATGAGAAACAAATTTTGTCTGATCATATTTCAGAGATCTGCGAAATATGGCATTTAAAATAATAATTAAAAAATCTTATTATATTAAACAGATACTTCGAGATCCTAGTGGTAACTCAAGGTCTCCAAAGAAGTTTATGGGACACATGATGCCTCCACCTGAATTACGATGACACTGACCACTGGGCAAGTTGCCCCAGTGCAACACCTGCTGTCAGGACCCAGTCCAGACAGTGGAAAAATAGCAGGACCTTGGAGAATTGATTGCACCACTTTTTCCTAGACAAAATAAGGTCAGTCTGTTCCATGTCCCTCTTACACAGAAAAAGAAAAAAAAATCACTTTATGGGCCTGGCTTAGACAGTAAGACTGCTGTTCTGGATATTTCTGCCTTCAATGCTATGGAGACCTAGGTATGACTAACTGTATATGGACTCTGGTTCCTGTCATTTTTAATAGATTCAGAAACTATTTGGTCTGTAATCAGTTATACTTTATTTATCCTTCTGAGATCTCTGATTGTATTAATGGCGAGGGAAGTTATAATGTCAGTGTAACAGCAAAAGGTATCCAGATTCTTCCACAAAGCTTTAGCCAACTTGTTAGCTCATTCTAAAGCTACCACACATGGTTCTCCAGACAGCAGAAAAATATACATGCTTCTAACCAAAACCTGTAGTTTTTCAAGGACTCAAATGATGGAGGAGGGTTATCTGTCTATTGTGTTATTTTCATTGGTCAATAAAGAGACTGCCTTGGCCCCTTGATAGGACAGAAAATTAGGTAGGCGGAGTAAACAGAACAAAATGCTGGGAAGAGGGCTTTGAGCCAGAAGCCATGGAGCCAGCCACCAGGTCAGACATGCTGAATTTTTTCCGGTAAGCCACCACCTCGTGGTGCTACAGATTATTAGAAATGGGTTAATATCAAGATATGAGAGTTAGTCAGTAACTAACTCTCTAGAGATAATGGGCCAGGCAGTGCTTAAATGAATACAATTTGTGTGTTGTTGTTTCTGGGACTAAGCTAAACGTGCGGGAGCCGGGCGGGATGAAAAGCAGGCCTGCCCACAGCTCCAAGCCCTCACTACACTCAAAGGTATGAGTCTATTCCTTCTGTTTACAGATTCCTGTTATCTGTTCTTTTTCTAAATTTTAACTTCTGTTCCTAGTTTAAACTTATCTCAATAGGCTTCCACTTGGCTGGCGGATGCTATCTAAGCATCAGTTGCTGATTACAACGTGTTCTGAACGTCAGGGAGCCCTGGACTTCCTGAAAGCTGAAGTGAACCAGTTCAGCTGATATGAATGTTCCCTGTCCCTTCAACGGAGACTGATGAGTGCCCCATTTCCTAAATTCTCTCCCTACCTTGGGCTAGCCTTTCAACCTGCTTGGACCCTGATAACAATGCCCCATTGCCAGCTTGAAGAAGTTGCAGAAAGGAACAGAATAGGTTGAAAGGCTGAGACAAGGGGGAACTCCCTGACATGGGGGACAAGACAACTACCTATAATACCTGTTGTTATACCAGAAAAATAGGTCCAAAGTCATCAATTAATGGATATATTAACTTAAGTAGTTCTTAAGTCCCAATATAACCTTCATAAAGCCAGGGACAAACAGGACCCAAGAGTGGGTCTTGTCATCGGTGCTTGTGAAGGGGGAAATGTAGGAGCAAACCATGGTAAGCTAAATAGAAAACAGAGCACCAAAGAAAGTTCTTTACTTCCAACCATTATCACCTGCCAGAGTAGGACTCAACCATCGATAAGTTTAATGGATGCCTGAGTCTAGTAGTTTACCCTGAAGCAATACTTGGTTGCAGGAAGAACCACAAACTGAGATTACCCAAGCACAAACCAAGAACAGACTATCCAAAAGAAATGCCTTATGTTCCAACTGCTGTAGATAGGATCACCTACCAGCACACACTCACCAGGACTCCCCTAGACAAATGTCAGCCAATCGGGGGTCTTGAATCTCAGAAACCCCTCATTCTCACCTTTACTACTATAAAAACCCAACTCTAAGTGAGCTCGGGGCTCTCTGTTTATTTCAATACATTAGACATGCAAAGAGACCAAGTTTGCCAACTTGCATAAAATAAAGGCTCTTTGCTTTTATATATGGAACTCAGTCTCCTTGTTGGCTTTTGGGGGACTTTGCGGATTTGGGCATAACATACACATGCAATAAATAAATAAACAAATCAATAAAAAATACCAAATAATTTCTTTGTTCCTTAAAGTTTGGACAGTTTATCTCTGTCCTCTGAACAGCAAACTAAACATGGTGCCAATGAGCTGTTTTGTCCTGTGGCCTCCTTTACCAATTTATGTGTGTTTTGTGTGTGTGCGTGTGTGTGTGTGCGCGCGCGCGCGCGCGCGCGCGTGCGCATGCGTGCGCTTATGCGTGCATACTGTTTCTCTGTGGCCTAACATTGAGCAAGATAAACAGTCAAGTGCCCTCAGGTTGATCTTCCTGGTTGTACAGAGTCCAAAAAAATGTACTGCTAGGCATTTTTCATTATGCATTGCCTCACTTGTATTACTAAATATATCAATATCCCGATTTTAGATTGCTTTGTTTTCCTTTCAACTACTATGACATTTTATTCATACCTGTGGTTAATATTTTAGAGACACTTACAGAATAAACCACTTAAAATTTAAAGAACAGAGTTATTATCATAGAAATAGATGTTTATATGTGCTGGCCGAGGATAGAAGGGTTGGGCCATGTTCCCCCATGAGTTTTGTTCGCCATCTAGTGACAACTCTACCTCACTACAAGTATGCCTGTCAGACACTGAAGTCTGCAGATAAAATTTCCAATTTCCTTCAGGAAAGATTTCAAATTAGAGTTTTCTTGAATATATGTTACATATACATATAACAGAATTATAAGTTTGTTACTAGTTCCCTTTAATGAAATACCATAAACTGTTTTACTATGTATATAGTAATCACTATACACATATTTTTGTTCATATACTATTATATCCCTTATATTATTATAGAAATGTTTCCTAAAACATGCACCTGGCATGCTGCTTTATGTTATCATCAATGAGTGACATGAGTGTGTCCATTTGCAAGACATTTGGAGGAAATCTGAAAGCTCTGGTGAGTATCTGATACATTCAAAAGTCTGATGTGATACACACAGCACATTTAGCTAAACTACCATACACTGATTAACGGAAAATCTAAGGTGTGGATCCAGGCAGCTAGTTTCCGTCAACTCTGACTGTACGAACATTACAACACTCGAAGGTATTATTTTCACTACTGAAAACACGGGAATACTTTGCTCTGTGTCAACAATGAGGTGACATGAAGTGTCTGGGCCTTTGAAGGCTTTCAGCAAATATAGATGGCACCTGCTGTCAATGATGTGCCCATTTTACTTTTGTTTATTCAATAAACACGTCTCCAGCGAAGTACTAAATAAATGACCTGTCTTACCACTAACACGTACATCTCCTCCATTTAAAAAAAAAAATGCTCAGGCAAATGCCAGTTGCTCATACTCACAGCTTTCCAGCTGCATTATACAGGTTTGCACATCCATTGGGAAATTCTTGAGATCCATTGGACAGGACAGGGTTAATGTCAATCTGAAATGATACAAGAAATTCTGTTAAGGGCGACTCTTTCACACTGACACATGAACATTCTATTGCCTAGAGACAACAATTTTTATGTTGATAGTGACAAAAGCTGTGCAGATGGAATTTTCTTCAGTTTCAGAATGTTATTTATTCTGGTATGACTATGTATTTATAAATTAATCAGGTTTTTTGGCAGGAAAGATATTGAAGTATTGTTGCAAATATAACATTCTGTACATTTACTTGTTTATTTGTTTGTTAATTTTTCCCCTTAGAGTTGAGTAGAAATGCCTAGAAGAGACAATTCTTCCAAAAGTGGTTCCCAGAAGATAAAACTGAATGTGGATTCTGCAGAATTACCAAAGGTCAAAAGGTGCATTTCATTTAAAATCATATTACTGAAAGTTAAGAGGTCAGTGTATACAGGAAAGTAAAGTTCTAAATGTGGAAAAACGGGGGGGGGGTGTAGAGAGATAATCTGATATGACATTTCTGGTCACTTTCACAGCTCTCTCTGGGAAGGTGGCAGCACCTAGTGGGGCAGTGAGGATACAAAATCCGAACAACTTGACTTGTTGGTAGATAGAGTGTCATTGAGCACAGCAAATCTGAAGAACCTGAATGTTTGTTAGCAGAGTAAGCAGTGTCTCCTGCCTCTGGCTTAGACATCCCCTCAGGTCCCATAGGAGTCAGAAAATAGTTCTATAGTATCACGACATAGTATTATGCTCACCAAACCATATTCTGGTTTTTATTCACAGGAAGAAAATGCAAAAGGTCTACACCAGCATTGTGCACTTGCAAAGAGACCTCCTGTACTCCCAGAGACATAACAAGTATGTTCCATATGAGCCTTACAAATATATGTATTTGTGTGTATGCATATATATATAAACATGCATTCCATATTGTATATATGTTGAAACCTATGCAAATATATTAAGAATACATTACTGATATATCTTCCAGTTTTTTTCCCATGAATTTGTCGCATGTGAAACTGGGAGGGAGGAAAAGAGGGAGGTCCTGATGCATGGTCAATATTCTTCAAAGTTTTTTGTGAGAAACCCTACTCAGCTACTTTTATTAAAGTCTTCATTGAAGTTCATTGTACTAGTGAGCATGCCAAGTGAACAGTTTACGTGAGTTTTATGACCTGAGGCATATTACTTAAACCTCCCTAAACAATAGTTTTCTCCTCTCTAAAATGATGACAATTATACTTACTGGAAAATTGAAGTATAGGATCATGAGTTGTTGTGTGAACTTCTCTTAGATAAGTGTTTGACACATAGGAAATACTGAATACTCACTAAATTTTAATGATTGTTGTCTCCCTCATATTCCCTTCCTCAAAATTCTAATGTGTGGGCAACAGATGAATTAATTAAATCACGCGTGGGAATTATTTATAGTTTAACAAAAAATAATTACCAATCCAACAAATATAGCTATAATAATCTTGAAAATGGCATTTTTATATAGACTACAGACATAAAGTTATAATGACATATAGTTTCCAGGGAATATCTTGCTGACATGGGTCCAATTAGCAGAGTCTGGGAGAAATAAATGGTTAGACCAATGGGGCTGCTGGAATTATAAGAGTTTCAGAAGGATTATTTGGCAATTCATTTAATTTAGGGTCCTTAGCAAGCTAAAATAATCAGAGAGCTTGATATTCAAAAGCTGTACCTTTCTAGTCTTTTTTAGTTAAGAGATACTAAGTAATAGAGTGTATTTACACATACTCTCTTCAAAAGGCAGTTTTAGAGCTCTGTGGACAAGCTGTTCCCTGCCTTGTAAAAGGGTTTCTCCAGACAGAGTACACATGCACATTCTGAAATTCATGCACACTCATTTTCCAAATATCCAAGGCTCTCGCCAGGCAATTTCTAGCGCTGACTTGCAGACTGCTCTGACCTTTTGTGAGGAAGTAAAAAGTGTTCTCAGATTCCTCTCCACTCTCTCACCATGCATGTGTTGTCAAATTTATATCCTGGCTCTTTCTCTGGCTTAAGACAGGAGCCGTTACATAATGCCAATGCAGGAAAAAAAAAAGTTCAAAAGAATTATTTGGCAAAGCAAAAAGGTTTCCATAAAACCTGTTGCAAAAACATATCCTATAAAAACCTACTTTTTTGACTTTGTTTTCTTTTATTTAACGTAAAATATTATTGAGTAAACAAAACACAGATTGTCAAACAAGTGCCAGCTGGTTGCAATATTTAATTTGTTTATCGAAATACGACATGCAAATTAAAGATGTGTTCTGACCACATCAAAGTTAAACTAAGTACAGAGGCAATGACTCATGTTCTGTTTTGGACATGAATGACTACTTGTTTAAGGAGGACACTAAGTCCTCTTTCTGAGACAAGATACGTAAACAGGATATGCACTTCCTACTGCCCCCCTAAGAAGTCTTGGATTACAGAAATAGTCACTTTCAAAAGGCTGACTCATCTTTGAAAATCATTGGCTTCTTTAAAATTTAATTATTATCCATTTTTAAAGCAACATTGCTTATAGAGAGGTGTCTGCCCCAATGTCTGCTTGAAATTAGACATGTTTTCTGACTCCGTATTAACTTTTTAACTCAAAATATGTATTTTTATGTTTCATTGTTATATAATTTTATGCATATGAGCATTTTTGTGCTCAAATGCATAGTGAAATATTTCCCAATATTTTGTAATTTGATAACATAAAGAGACAATGTCTCTTGTTCAGTATTGTTAGAAAATTTGAAAGAGTTTCTGTAATACAATATTAACACATTCGTGGTACTTACTTTGCAGTAGAAAGAAGTCCAGATATTTTGTAGATAATACTCATTGCTCTGTAGTACAAACTATTAAGATAGGTAAATAATATTCACCTTCTTTAAGTGAGAAAACTTAAGAGTTAACAAAACTAACCTCATATTATGTAACAAAAAATGGACAAGGCAGAACTTGCAACTTGGCAAGGGTGTGTCTAGACTAGGTTCCAAGGTCTTGACCTTTAAGAACGCCACTCAGAAAGAATTGGGTCATTTCACTTTTAACACAAGAATTAATAAAATGCATAGGCTATTAGTTCTTACATGTGAAGTAAGACACATAAATACTCTTTTAACAATAATTAGAAAGATGTAATTAGACAGCCAAAATCATAAGAAATTTCTCTTGGGATTTTACATAATTGAGTGGTTTGGTATGTGATTATGAATGATTTCATAGGGAATAAAGAACTAAGAAATGATCCAAGAATAGAAACAACCGAACAGAGATTAGAAACTGTTACTATGAATTAAATTTGGGAGGATTCTTTGTAAATTGATCATTAAAAAAGAATAAATCTAACCAATCTATTACAACAGCATCAGTTATGAGCCCTGTGAGAAGTTGACGTGAACAAATCATGAATCTGAAAAGCAGTCACCTTTGTTTATACTCATGCTTTATTCCCAAATATCAGCACTATCAATAAATTTTCTAATGAATGAACAACAATCGTGAGAAGTTGATATACGTCACTTTTTTGTTTACATCCATTAGTATCTGTCAGTGTTCAAAAATAAATATTATGCAGGGAAACTTTTTGTTTACACAATTAAATTTTACAGAAGTAGAAATTTTATCTGGCTCAAATAAAATTTGAGATTGTGGTCACTGCATTGTATTCAATACCTCTGAATAAAATGTTCTTGTCATTTCCTTTTGAAAGGATGAAGGTTCTGCGGTATCAGCAGCAAAGCTGCTTGTGTGCTATTAGAACAGCTAGTGTTTAATATTTAACAGGCTTTCATGTGCCTCCATTTTTTTCTGAAGCGCATCATCCTTTGGCTGCCTTTGCTTTGTTTTCTCTTTTGAAAAGATAAAATTAAAAGCTTTGGGGCCTACTGTATGCCTGCCACCACGCTAAGTGTTTTACATGTATTATTTTTGGCTTGATTTAGCTGGTAATATTGTTTTTATATATAGAAGGAAAATCAGTTGTTTTAGAAGTTAAGAGCCTTGTCTCAAATACAGCTAGTAACTAGCAGAGTCTGAATCAGGGCTGGCAGAATTAGTCAGTATCCACTGGGCCCCTAGTCCTTCCAACATCTCTTGTTTTGCATACCAAGAGTGAAAGCCGGACCAGGATTTTACCTGTAAAATGTCTAAGGATTGCAGAATCTGCTAACATTCTGACATGGGATTGCATTGTTCACTTAGAAAAAGAGAAGGCTTGTTTTCAGTTTGCTCTAAAAATCGTGTGTTCTCCAAGCCTGTCTTGCACACTTGTCTCATAACTGGCTGCACACTTACACTCATCTAAACCCATTACATTAGTTTTGTGAGACTTGTGGTGATGGCAGAAGTATTCTTGCTGCTTGCTTTCCCCTAATAATAAATTCCATTATTTCTGACTCAGAAATTTTGTATTTTCAGGAATCATTAAATGGAGACAGGTTAACTTTATAAGCAGTATAAAATACAATTTGAAACTTAATCTTGAAGCACATGTCTGACTCCAAACCCCTCATCCAAAACACAAGCTATTTAAATGTTTTTAGTATAATCCATAGATATGATGTGACATTTTAAATAGTTCTGTAAATCATAAAAACCAGTTACACCAAGGCTGGAGAGTTGGCTCAGTGATATGGAGCACTTGATGCTCTTTCAAAAGACCTGAGCTTGGTTTCAGAACCTACATGGTACCTTGTAGCTATTCATAACTCTAGGGATCTGACACATGCTTATGACTTCTGCAGGTCCTTGCCAGATGTGTGACGCATATACATATATACAAGCAAAATACTTATCCACTTAAATAAACCTAAAATTATATTTCTTTAAATTCACAACTTTTCTTCACCCATTCATACCTCAGTTTTACTTCTCAGTGTTAGTCTTTCTTCAGCTACCTGTCTATTATTTCTATTAATATAGCTATGCTAGTATAAAATGATTTTATGTGCTACTTAGTACTTGAAATTTTCTATTTAACATTCTATAGGAGAAATGTAACATTTTTTTTAAAAACCTCATAACGTTTTTAGCTTCCCACCAAGCCCAAAGGTCCTTGTAGTTAAGCAAATACCACACAATTACATGTTAGGAGTCTGTGATTAATGTTTGTGTTATGGTGTTGGTAATTTGCATAATTACTGATATTGCATAGTGTTTTTGCCTTGGTATTAATTAGTGTCTCATGGTGACTGTCTTTACACTTTTGTATTCTTAGGGCTCCTTTAAATTCTACTAGGTCTCATTGCTCTTTGGTGCTTCTTAGTGGCTGAACACAGCAGGGTTCTGCCTTAAAACTCATGTTTAAGCTTCTTTACTGATTTTTACATTCTTCTACCATTGATTGGTTCTCTCTCTCTCTCTTTTCTCTCTCTCTCTCTCTCTCTCTCTCTCTCTCTCTCTCTCTCTCTCTCTCTCGGACGGTGCCTCTATTTTATCTAATTTTCCCACTGCTTGCTCTTTTTTTAAAAAAAAGATTGATTTATTTATTATGTATACAATATTCTGCCTCCATGTATGCCTGCACTCCAGAAGAGGGCGCCAGATCTCATTACGGATGGTTGTGAACCACCATGTGATTGCTGGAAATTGAACTCAGAACCTCTGGAAGAGCAACCAGAGCTCTTAATAGCTGAACCCTCTCTCCAGCCCCCCTCTGCTTGCATTGTGTGTTAATGTCTTTAATTTTTCATTCCTGAAAGTATTATTTTATACATGCAAATGTATTTGTCCAGAGAATTTAAAATTACTCTTTTTTTTTACCTTTCTTCGGTCATGTTTTTGTTAATTTTTCTTTTAGTTTTGTATTTTTGTTTTCTCTTCCTCTGTATTTGTTTCTCTGGTCTCTGTCATTAAAAAAAAAATGACAAGACATTTTCAAATGGCTGTTTTTGAGACTGAGAACCTAAAAGTGATTTGGGGTACAACTAAAGAGAGATGCTCATGGAGTAATG